AAGGAATAGTTTATACGCGGTTGAAATTTTTTTGAGGTGCATAGAAAATCTGTGAGAAAAATAACACGCAATTGAATAATAATAAAAATTGGAATTCACAAAGTTTGCACTTATAAAATAGGGATATTGAAATTTGATCTGAATATGAGAATGAGAGGATTTTCTTTTTTATTTTAAGTTTTAGTATATGTAACGAATAAGTGCTAAAAAATCAGGATCCAAATTTTTGCAATTATGAAGTAGTAGTATTGAAATTTAAAAGAATTCTTTTTTATCGATGGATAAATGCCAAAAAATTCCTGAATTTTGCATTTATAGAATAGTATTGATGAATAAATGTCAAAAATTCCTAAATCTTGCACATATACAATAATACTCTATGAATAAATACACAAAAATTTATAAATTTTGTATTTAATTTGGAATAATAGTATTGAAATATAAAATAATCTTTTTGTATTGATAAATAAATGTTGAAAATTCCTAAATTTTATGGAACAATAGTATTGACATTTAAGAGAATTCCTAAATCTTGTATTTATGAAATAGCATAATATAATTCTAATATTTTCTAATATGACTCAATCATAATTGTGAAGAGTTCTCTTTGTATAATATTTTGATAAGATTCAGAACTCAAACTGTACCCTTATGGAATAATAGAATTTGAAATTTAATCCCATTCTAGCTCATTCATTACAACCTAAAAAATTTTCTTCGTATTTTTTTTTATTTACATAAAAAAGAACATCGAGTGAAAGAAAAACAGGACTATATCAATTTAAATAACATCCTACGTTCTTTCGTATTTTAATCTACATATTTTATTACACAGAGCCTTTTTGATACAGTGACAGTGTAATTAACCTATTTTTTTTTTCACACTTTACCATACAATTTTCCCACAATAGATAAAGGAACAAAGAAAAAGCTAAAAGCTAAAAAAAAAAAAAAATGAAGAAAATATTAAAATAATATTTGCAATTACTTATATCGTATTATTTCAGTTGTATTTTTATCGTATCAGATAAATCTATCTAACATATTCACCTATCTCTCACGTTCTGTTCCAATAAAAATTCTTCTTATTTACGATACCCATGATACCTCTTGCTACACGAGACAACCAGCCAGCCTGGGACTAGTGATTTGTCACTGTAATTTCTACAATTAAAATTTACCTATTTTTATCTTTGATTTAACAAACGATCATACTTCGAACGATAAAACAGTCCGAAATAATAATTTTATTTAATTTTATTATAATTGTTGTAACCAAGATATCGTTGCAAAATAAACCTGTTCTTTCAGCGATCAAATCCGAACAACGACGTTCAAAGGATATTTAGAAAGAAGAGTGAAGTGGGCCACCCGGTGTGTAAAAGGCGTGCAGTTTTAATCAATGCGCTCAAATATATCCGAAACTAAGCGAGATACGTTACGCTTTCTTCTCTCGTCGTATTTTACCGTTTCGAAACGAGATCGATATCAAGGCCACGATGCATTTCCTCGATGAGGGACGAGTATTACTACTCGAGAACCGTAACGTGAAAAGTTAACAAAAATGGTAAGATATATTTCTGCTGAGAGGAAAAATAAAACGTCACGTAATGGCGGTGCGCGCAAGTTTTAGAATTTCTGGAACATCGAGCGAATCTATCAGGCAGAATGCGAAGAAGTAGAATGCTCTTTTGAAGTTAGTTACGGCAGTTTTTCGAAGAGTTCGAAGACTATGTATATATATTGTTCGAAAAGTAATTTCGTTTTTTTTCACGAGAATGAAACACTAACTCGTTTTATGAACAGTCGAATTCGACAAATTCAATTTCGTAGCAATTTCTCGAATTCGTTTATTTTATTTTCATCAGTTTCGACTGGTTTACCTGTGGTGGAACATGGCGCGTCTTTAACGTCGAAATTGTCGGAACGAAATCTTGAAAGTACACACGCACTGGCGTACCGTTATATGCACCTTTTCTATAGAATTCGCATAACTTTTTTCTCTTGAACAGCGTTCTTACCTTTTCCATAATAAAAAAGTGAAATATGTTTCTTTCGGTCTCGCATCTTTGTTTATCACGCGTGAAAAACACACTAGCACATAATCGAACGAATTTTTCATATAAATAAACCACGAATGCCAACTCTCGAAATGTAATAATAACAACATGGTTTGGAACGAAGTTGGCTGGATAAACGTTCAACACTAGCGACACTCGCGTGAAAAAAACGAATCACTTTCCGAACAATCCATACATATATATATATATATATATATATACATTCGAAGAATTTTTCACCAATTACAATTCGAATTGTTAACAATCGTTTGGAAAAACTTTGATTGCAAATAAACAAGGAGAAACTATCGAGAAAACATTTTAAGAAATGGTAGGATTAATTTCGAAGAATTGTCCAACGAGCTGATCAACGAGTTGAGAAATGGATGAAGAGATGGGAAGGGAGAGGAGAAGAAACGGAAGCTGTCAGTGAAATCGACTTTATCCATCGCGATCAGTTACACACACACGTGGCGTTATTTCAGCCTTCAAAGATAAAAATGTAGCGATGCTTTCTCTTCAGAGTTTGAAGAGGGAAAGGAAGGAGGGAAGAGAGAGAAAGAGAGAGAGAGGAAAAGAAGCGAATTAGAATCGTGACTCGGGAATATTCTTATGTCTTGGCAGCGGTGAAAAATTAAGCGCGAGAGATATTCTTCGAGCATTTTATTATTGGATTCGAGAGATTCGGGGTCAATGTTCACGATGATTCAGCTGGCAAAAAAAAGGGAAGAAAATTGTTTCCAACTGCAAATTTTTTTTTTTTTTTTTTACACTAGAATATCAAAAATTCGTTTGTACAAGAGACTTTGTTATTATTGCAACGAGAATATTTTCGTCGATTTTTAATTTCCAGAAAAATGATTCGATCGAGTGTGTCTCGTAGATTTGAGATCTACATCGATGGATGATTGTCCGCAAAACGTGTTCGTGTGGATAACGGAAGATATTATACAAGTCCTGCGGGCAGTTTGCGAATAACTATTGATCCATATTTTGGCCGGTAATCGGACCAAATGTGAGTGCACGACATTATCTGTAACGTAGTCTGCGCGTATAAACCGTGGCGATTGTTAACGAACAGTGCACGAGGATTGTATGCAGACAACAATTGTCCGTGGATTTTGGTAAATGTTGAATAAGCGTCCAAGTAACTTGTATAAACTTATATACTTAAAGAGTAACGACACTTGAAAACTTAATTCAAATTGTACTTTCTATTTTTTTTTTTTTTTTAGAGCAATATTAAAGTTGGAATGATAGTATTGAAACTTAATCCCAAAAAAATCTTGATAAACGATACTTTATAATCATTAGAGAAAAGGAATATTAAAGTTAAACTTGTCATTTCTCTGTTCATTCAAAATTAGTCAATAGTCAGATTTTACAATTGGATAAGCGTGCAAGTAACTGGAAATTGGTCTATTTAAAGAGTAATAAAATTTAATCCCAAAAGAATCTTGATATTTTCTAATTTTGAAAGAAGAATAATATTAAAGTTATGATTTATATTTAAAATTTACATTTATGAAATAATATTATTGAAACTTAATCCCAAAAGAATCTTGATAAATGATACTTTGTAATTTTTAAAGAATTAGCTATATTAAAATTGAATTTATCATTCTTCCTTTATTCAAAATTGATCGACGTAGACTTTGCGGCAAATGTCGAACAAGTGTCCAAAAAACGCTTAAACTCTTAAAGAGTAAATAATATTCAAATTTAATCCCAAAATTGATAAATGATACTTTCTAATTTTCAAAGAAGCGCAATACAATTTCCACTTTTTCCTTTCTCACTTCCATTTTCATTCTCTTGCCAGCCAAACGACGCTTAAAACACACACACACACATACACACATGCACGCACAAAACACAACGACTTTACTTAAACTTCTCCTCCCCACTGTTCAAGTTCAAAGCACCTACTGCTCAACAAACGGATATATAAGAAATTCCAATTCTCATCGCTTCTCCCCGAGATAAACCACGACCAAAATCATCCAAAACCAAATATCTGTAATTCCAAACTCATTTTAATCAATCGATAAACACATGTTCCTCTCCAGCTCAATAAAAAAAAAAAAGAAAGAAAGAAAAAGAACGCGGAAGCAAAAAAAAAAAAAAACACGATATAAGTTCATGAACACGATTTTGAAAATGATCTCTTACTCCCCCCTCCTCCGACCACGCGAAAACTTGGCGTATCCCACGGAACGGAACGAAGCGGATCAGTGGACAACCGGCGAAGGCGTCGGGGACTCCGTCCCGCAGGACGAGTCGTCGGGTTCGAGGCCCCGAGTGCCACTCGGCCAACCGACTCGTCCCCCTATCCCTCTGTTAAGCCTCCCCCTCCTAGCGAAACAACACCGAGAACACGCTCGAAATACGCGCGCGCGTCGATTTCCACCAGAGAGTGAGAGAGAGAGAGAGAGAGAGAGAGCGGACTCTTCCGTCCTCCTCCCTTCCTCCACCTCGCCTAGAGTGTAGCCCCCCTTTCCCCTGCCCGCAGCTCAACGGGCTCCATCCACTCGGGGGAACTCAGTACTCTCTCGCGCCCCGAGCCGAGAGAATCGCTCCTGTCTCCTCCTCTCGGCCCCCCTCTGATTCTCTCTCTCCTCTCCTCTTCGTCTCCATTCCCTCCTCGCCGTGCACACGCCGTGCTGCTTTCTTCCTCCTTGACCACCGCTTCCTCTCCTTAAATCTCGCGATCCCGCTCGAGGTTTTGAACACGCGTGACAAAGGAGTCGTGCGCGGCAAACAAATTCGTGCCGATCCGACACGGCACGTGCGCGGCCAAGTAGAGCGACAAGGGAGCGAGCGAGAGAGAAAAGTTGAAAAGTTTTTGTGAGAGAGAACGTGGTGGCGGTGGTTGTGGTTGTGTGGTGGAAAGAAAAGTGGTGGAGAAGGGTGGTGCTTGTGGTTGTGGTGGCGGTGGTGGTGGTCGCTTGTAAATATGGTGAATCTTCGAGGAGACACACCCCCGGAGAAGACGTGACAGTAGGGGGATGAGAGGATCGGCGGTGATCGCGATTCACAGCCGGTTGGATTCAAGTCCCGCAGTGAGGGACTCTTGCCTCTTGGGCTGGACCGGGTGAGGAGGGACGGGAGGGGTGATTTTGACGGAGGACAGAGAGAGAGAGGGAGAGAGAGAGGAGGAGAGGTGGATCTCTATCGTTAGGTTAATGTCTTCTATTT